TTTTAGACCCCATTCCTACAAAACTGCTCAAAGAAGTCCTGCCATTAATTAATTCTTCGATCTTAAATATGATCAACCTATCTCTAATGATCGGCTATGTACCACAGGCCTTCAAGCTGGCTGTAGTTAAACCTTTACTCAAAAAGCCATCTCTAGACCCAGCAGTCTTAGCTAATTATAGGCCAATCTCCAACCTTCCTTTCATATCAAAAATCCTTGAAAGAGTAGTTGTCAAACAGCTAACAGATCATCTGCAGAGGAATGGTTTATTTGAAGAGTTTCAGTCAGGTTTCAGAGCTCAGCACAGCACAGAAACAGCTTTAGTGAAGGTTACAAATGATCTTCTTATGGCCTCTGACAGTGGACTCATCTCTGTGCTTGTCCTGCTAGACCTTAGTGCAGCATTCGATACTGTTGACCATAATATCCTATTAGAGCGATTAGAACATGCTGTAGGTATTACAGGTACTGCACTGCAGTGGTTTGTATCATATCTATCTAATAGACTCCAATTTGTGCATGTAAATGGAGAGTCCTCTTCACACACTGAGGTTAATTATGGAGTTCCACAGGGTTCAGTGCTAGGACCAATTCTGTTTACATTATACATGCTTCCCTTAGGCAGCATCATTAGAAGACATAGCATACATTTTCACTGCTATGCAGATGACACCCAGCTCTATCTGTCCATGAAGCCAGATAACACACACCAATTAGTTAAACTGCAGGAATGTCTTAAAGACATAAAGAACCTGGCATGCATGTATACTTTCCAGGCTGGACTACTGTAATTCATTATTATCAGGATGTCCAAAAAACTCCCTGAAAAGCCTTCAGCTGAATCCAAAATGCTGCAGCAAGAGTCCTGACAGGGACTAGAAAGAGAGAGCAGATTTCTCCTGTTTTGGCTTCCCTTCATTGGCTTGTTAAATCCAGAATTCAAAATCCTGCTCCTCACATACAAGGTCTTAAATAATCAGGCCCCATCTTATCTTAATGACCTTGTAGTACCATATCACCCTATTAGAGCACTTCGCTCTCGCTCTGCAGGCCTACTTGTTGTTCCTAGAGTATTTAAAAGTAGAATGGGAGGGAGAGCCTTCAGTTTTCAGGCCCCTCTTCTGTGGAACCAGCTTCCAGTTTGGATTCAGGAGACAGACACTATCTCTACTTTTAAGATTAGGCTTAAAACTTTCCTTTTTGCTAAAGCATATAGTTAGGGCTGGACCAGGTGACCCTGAATCCTCCCTTAGTTATGCTGCAATAGACGTAGGCTGCCCTATTGCCAGTCTTGGCAGCCGGGGGTCAGTCCGCCACCCGGCACACAATGCACCCGACCCCTATGGCGCCTCCTGCGGGTGGTGGGCCTGCGGGAGGATGGGCCCATGTCTCCTCTTCGGGCTGTGCCCGGGTGTGTTCCAACTACAGGGGGATCACACTCCTCAGCCTCCCTGGGAAAGTCTATGCCAGGGTGCTGGAGAGGAGAGTTCGTCCGTTAGTCGAACCTCGGATACAGGAGGAACAATGCGGTTTTCGTCCTGGTCGCGGAACACTGGACCAGCTCTTTATCCTCTCGAGGATACTTGAGGGTGCATGGGAGTTTGCCCAACCAGTCTACATGTGTTTTGTGGACTTGGAGAAGGCATTCAACCGTGTCCCTCGGGGTGTCCTGTGGGAGGTGTTGCGGGAGTATGGGGTGTCTGGCCCATTGCTACGGGCCATTCGATCCCTATACAACCGTTGCAAGAGCTTGGTTCGCATTGCCGGCAATAAGTCGGACTCGTTCCCGGTGGGTGATGGGCTCCGCCAGGGCTGCCCTTTGTCTCCGGTTCTGTTCATAATTTTTATGGACAGGATTTCTAGGCGCAGCCAAGTGGCGGAGGGCTTTCGCTTTGGTGGCCTCAGAATCTCATCTCTGATTTTTGCGGATGATGTGGTTCTGTTGGCTTCATCGGGTGAGGGCCTCCAGCTCGCACTGGAACGGTTCGCAGCCGAGTGTGAAGCAGCGGGAATGAGGATCAGCACCTCCAAATCTGAGGCCATGGTTCTCAGCCGGAAAAGGGTGGAGTGCCCACTCCGGGTCGGGGATGAGTTCCTGCCCCAAGTGGAGGAGTTCAAGTATCTCGGGGTCTTGTTCGCGAGTGATGGGAGAAGGGAGCCGGAGATCGACAGACGGATTGGGGCTGCAGCTGCAGTAATGCGGACGCTGCACCGGTCCGTCGTGGTGAAGAGGGAGCTGAGTGTAAAAGCGAAGCTCTCAATTTACCGGTCGATCTACGTCCCTACCCTCGCCTATGGCCACGAGCTGTGGGTAGTGAGGCATGTCCCACCGGGAGGAGGCCCCGGGGCAGACCCAGGACACGCTGGAGAGATTATATCTCTCGGCTGGCCTGGGAACGCCTTGGTATTCCCCCGGATAAGCTGGAGGAGGTGGCTGGGGAGAGGGAGGTCTGGGCCTCTTTGCTTAGGCTGCTGCCCCCCGACCCGGCCTTGGATAAAGCAGATGAGGATGGATGGATGGATAGACGTAGGCTGCTGGGGGATTCCCATGATGCATTGAGTTTTTCCTTTCCAGTCACCTTTCTCACTCACTATGTGTTAATAGACCTCTCTGCATTGAATCATATCTGTTATTAACCTCTGTCTCTCTTCCACAGCATGTCTTTTATCCTGTCTTCCTTCTCTCACCCCAACCGGTCGCAGCAGATGGCCGCCCCTCCCTGAGCCTGGTTCTGCCGGAGGTTTCTTCCTGTTAAAAGGGAGTTTTTCCTTCCCACTGTCGCCAAAGTGCTTGCTCATAGGGGGTCATATGATTGTTGGGTTTTTCTCTGTATCTATGAAGCGTCTTGAGGCGACTTTTGTTGTGATTTGGCGCTATATAAATAAAATTGAATTGAAAAATTGAATTGAATTGAATCAATTGCACTTCTGAAGACACTGAAAATGGAAGTTTTGTCTTGACAGATCTCAAGAATTGTGCAAAGGAAGTTTAACGATGACATTCCTTTGGGTCAAGCATGCCTCTGGTGCTGTAGCATCTGCCCTTTTACAAACTGGGATGAACTTGGTTACACTTTTTTTTTCACATATACAAGGAGCAGAGCTGTTGCTTCCGCTATTAGCAGACACGGGGCTGTTACCGTGATGGTACCAAAACCAGATCAAACTGGTATGTTGCCTCTAGGCAAACTCTGGCTTGTGCATAAACATATCTGTGAGATACACTGATGAAATCATCAAACGATGGAATTTCTTCCTGCTAAGCTGCATATCTTTAAGAAACATTTGTTCAAACAGCCAGCAGTTGGTTTCTTTATTGAACCAGCCAAATATGTTTATCCCCACTGATACTCAGTCAAGAAACAGAACGGCATCCTTTGATTTATTTAGCACATAATTAATCTGAAATGTACCAGACTTTTACATCTAGTAAGTGTCTGGGCTTCTCAAGGTTTTCTTGTCTTTTGTTCTTGCCTTCTCTCACTTCTCTTTTCCCTTGCTCTAAGGTGGAGGTGATCAGCCTACACTCCTGTTCCTCATCATGTCATGACCTAAAAGCATTTAGGGACAGCTTGTTTAAATTAAGGCTCTCTGATGATAGCTGAAATCTGTGGTGTGTTAAAGTCCTTCTCCTTAGAAAATTCTTCTCGTCAGCTGAAGAGCTCTCTCCTTGTGGATATTATAGGTCATCAGCTAATCAGTAGGTTGGTGGTTTGATCCCTGTGGTCCAGTCTGCATGCCAATCCGTGATTCTGCATAATGAGGCCCTATAAGTGCATTTGAAGCAAAACTTTTTGTAGCCTTGGGATGTTAATTCTAGATTTTTTTTTTTACGTACCTTTGCTTCTTATATCTGCTATATTTTTTTCAGCCAACTATAGGTGTGTTTCTTTGCATGCAATATGTCTGCAAGGGTACTGATTTCCTGTGTTAAAACCACCAAGAGATTATAGATTATAGAGATAATTTCAGTTTGCTCAGCGGCACGCCAAAGTTTTCTGTATAAAGTAAAAAAAAAAAAAAACAAGGCAAAACATGTTTGTGGCACCACCTGCTCTTCTTCCTGAGAAAATCTAAAGATCGAAATTGAAAGTCTCCTCTTTGTGTGTATATATGTATATATATATATATATATATACACATATCTTTAGTATCACGGAAAATGTTAATATTACAGCAGGTGTTTCCATTTGTAACTGTGACCTTTATATGATGGCAACTAAAAAAAGTTGTTTGTGCGGTGCTTCAGGTTGATATCCACATCATGACTAAATATGTACCATTACTTTGGGCGTAAGTGCTAGATGTTTAAATGAGGGCTGTCCGACTAAACCAGGGTCATGTAAGTGTCTATGTATGACTTATTTTGGTGCAATATGAATGGATCCTGAGGTCTTTGTCAGTACGTAAAAGCTGTGCAAGTCCAAAATCGATGCCTTCCTTCCTTCACATTTTCCAAAGCTTTCCAGTGGGCCATGTTGGGAGTCTTTGGCAGGCTGGATCTGGCCCCCAAGCCTCATGTTTGACAAGTTGAGTTAAATGTATTGAGTATGAGCTTACAGCTTTCTTTTTCTGCAAATAAGATCACTGCAGTCTCGTATCTCACAACAAACTTCAGACTGTGGCAGCAGGAAGTGGACACTGATAACACCACTTCCACAGTAACCTCACTTCAAATATGTCAAGATTTTGCCGTCATTAAGTAACATTTGCTCTTCCTGTCTTTCTTGTTGTTTTCCATAACTCAAGGAACTTGTACAGCTTTTCAGTTAAGACTAGTGCATGCAAACACATTTGTTCTGTCACCCCACCAGCCATCTGGAAGTTGTTTAACTTCAAAGTTTAAAAAGTAAACTTGATGAAACAATACAGAAACTGAAGTTTCCTGTTATAATTATCGGTCATTGCTTTTGAACACAAACCAGATGGGCTTGTAAAGCAAAACAAAATGAGATTACAAACAAGGACCATTCTTAAAAACTGCAAAAAGTTACAAATTATTCTGTAGTATAACTTTTTTTAATAGTCACACAAGGCTGGAGGCTCTACTCTCCAATTCAAAAATCACACAAATTATACAAAAAGTATAAAATAATCACAACAGACAAAATACTTTTTCAGTAGTCGGTCTGTTTAACTAAACATTAACCCCAGTTGTCTGTGTCCTGCTTTGAGCATTTCGATCTATTTTCCCCGACCGGACCGTATCACTGTAGCTCCTTAAATACGAGCAGTTAGAAAAAAAGCTCCAGGAAAAATGCATGATGGACCGGCAGGTCGAGTCTTTGTGGGATTTCGGCCATTGAGAGCACGTCTTCGGTCATGAGGAAGGCGATGGGCCCGACGCGGGTCCACACACACTTCTCACACAGCGGCCCGCCTTGAGACAACCCATCGGTCTGCAGGAGGGCAAAAGTAGAAACAAGAATTAAATAATATTCTTATATTATAATATTATCCTTTACATCAAAGAAGGGTCTTACACATCGCATCTGCTGTCGGCACATGATGAAGGCTGAGCCTGGGGTGATGCAGTTGGGACAGTTTGCGATGGAGCATGGGAGAGGCTGGTCGCTCTTCAGTAGGGAACTGGGCATCTCTGACCTAAGAAAGTACTCCTAGAGATAACAGTGAGAAATGGCAGACAGTTTCATTTATATGGATAAAACCGCCTGGAATACAAGGAGCAGGACATTTGATAGACAGTCTGGGAGCGTGCACGCTAAAAACCAAACCTATGAGCCAAATCCAGCCCACCCGTGTCACCCAGCTGTTGCGGTGATGTGCACTGACACTCGTAAAGCATAAACCATGTCAAACTACATGTGGCACAACTTTTAGCTTTTGAGTTTCACAAGGCTGAACATGAAAAGAATCGTCTATGTACAAGAACAAAACGAATAGATGCCCATAGTAACAGTAGCTGGTCTTAGTGACTCAGCTATAAGGTGGCCGTTCTGACAATAGTTTTACATTTGGCTGGAGTCAGCGTCACTGCGGGCAGCATGATATGATACCTAGAACCTACAGAGGTTGCACAGGTAGTCTCACATCATTATCTTTCATTGCCAAAAGGTTTGCAGTGTCTCCCAGCACAGTCTAAGAGAATGGAGAAGATTCCAGCAGACAGGCAGTTACTTCAGTCTCAGACCAATCTAAAACAGACTTTGTGAGGGTGGCCTAAGAACCCAACATCCTCTACTGGGCCCTGTGTTCACTGCCTGGCATTGGTATTTGTCATATGATATCAGAATTGGCAGTTCTACCACTGATGCCCTGTGAGATAACAACAGGTTCACCCTGAGCACATGTAACAGACGTGAAAGGGTCTGGAGAAGCCATGGAGAGCATTATGCTGCCTGTAACATTGTTCAGTATGACCAGTTTGGTAGTGGATCAGTGATGGTCTGGGAAGCATATCCATCGAGGGACACACAGACCTCTACAGGTTAGGCAAAAGCACCCTGACTCCCATTAGGTATCGAGATGAAGTTCTTGGTGAGACCCTACGGTGGTGCAGTGGGTGCAGTTCGTCCTCCAGATGAACACTGAAATTACCATGGTAACAACACTCCATGAAAAAGAAACAATACAGGGCCCATAAGTTTTGGTAGTAATTTATAGACAGAGAAGTGAAAGCCACTTGAGAAAACACAGGAAGTATAAAAGCAGAGCAAACATGATCAGCTATTTCTGTTTCTTCTTGCTTCAGGGAGATTCCTTCACTGTTTAAAGCTGCTATCGTATTGGAATCTGTTTCCTTAACCATCACACGTATATATAAAATCCTTAAACCATCTAGGAGGAGACAGAGGGTAAACTGTAAACGTAAACTGCACTTGCGATGGCAGCATTAACTTCATTGCTGTTGTGTTACCAAAGTTTCAAACTCTGTGTGCACTTTTTTTTTCTCAAAAAAAAAAAAAAAAAAAACTGAGGTGAAGGTGTCATTACCACATACCCCTCCCCAAACAGAATCCAACAACCACCCAAGAAGCAAAAAGAAAAGACAACAACAGCAGACTATTATGGCCATGCAATTTGCCCACCACTCCTTTTAGAGTGTGCGTTTTAAACTGTGTTTGGCTTTCTGCAAAAACTGATCTCACTGACTCCCAACATCTGTACACCGACTGGGCTGCATTTACAATGGGAAAACTTTATCGTGGAGTTCAGGCAACAGTCTATGTTTACAAAAGATAATCAAAGCTTGATAAAACCTCCCTAAACAGAAAACGTTTTAGTTTAGCTGTACTGGAAATATAAGGGGATGAAAATCAAAGTCCTTTGAGTCACTGGAAATGCTAATTAACAAATACAGTGCTTTCAAAATACATCAGATCAATGAGAAAAAAAAAATCATACTGGATATCTATACTGTTATCTGAACAAAATAACAAAAGGATGTCACATCATTTGATGGAAATGAAAATGATCATCCCACAGAGGGCTGAATTTAAAGACACCTTGAAAATCAAAGTGAAGAAAATGATGCTGCAGGCTGTTTCAATTTGCACCACCAAACCAGCCACGTTTGATGATGAAGCACAGTGTTCTCCATGGCTTCTCCACACCCTTTCACGCTTGTAACAACCCTCCTAGAAATCTCCTCCATGCTCTTCAGACTGTGCTGGGAGACACAGCAAACCTTCTGGCAAAGACATGCATTGATGTCCCATCAGAAAGAGTTGGACTACCTGTGCAACCTCTGTAGGGCCCAGGTACCTCCTCATGCTGACCCTAGCTTAGCTAAATGCTAAACTAGTGGAGAAACAGTCAGGAAAAAAAGATGAGGAAAAACTTTCAGTGTCCAGCAAGTCATGTCTTTTTTTCCTCTGACAAAAGGGAAACACTGAACACCTTCTTATATTATATTTTGTATTGCGGAAAGGGTGATTAGTGTTTGTATATACTGTCAAACAGTGATCACTGTCAAGGAGTGGCATTAAAAAAAGATTTTTTTTTTTTTTTTTAAATTGTTGGCACAGCTGCCTGTTATAGCAGTCGCTGTTCTACTTCTCTGCTTTTTTTTTTTTTTTTTCCCCCACACTGAAAGTTCTGCTGCCTGGAATAAATCCTGTAATCAGCTTGGGTCGTCTTCCAGATCCTGAAAGGAGTGACCCATCCGAATATCTTGTACTTACGTACAGATTTTAAGAAATCGCTCAGAAAGACATGACCAAATTTTGTAAATCTACAATTCTCCATTTAATTTTCCCAATTCTTGTTTTTGGAAGTCATTAAAAATATCTGCTGTGTAATCATTCCACCTTGGAAAAAGAATAGTTCAAAGAAATCCCCCCAAAAAGACCCACATAATTATGACAGTCATTCCCATGATGAGTGTATGGAAACTTCCAGCACAACTGTGTTTGTTTCATGGAGCTGGAGCTGCAGTTAAACTTCCCCGGCCACATTCTGTACCTGGCTTTGGGTCCGGAAGGCAGCAGAGGGATTGATGCATTTTTGGACTGAAAGTCATGCGAACCTGGTCATGTTACTGCAAAGAAATACTTCTTTGTCCTGAATACTGTACTGCCACGTGTAAAATGTGCTGAAAAGTAATTTTTGGAGGAAATTCTGTCTTTGAATCATAATGGAAAACACATGGATCCAAACCACACTCAGTGCCACTTACTGGAAATTACGGGACACACAGTAAGGGAGAAGCAGCATTGCAGTAATCTGAAACTAGGAAGTCAACGACACTGTGTGGCTTCAAGCGTCAATAGGCGAAAGGGTTGACAACGTGAAGCTGGGCGGGTCCCGAGTTGAGAGCAAGGGGCAGCTTTTTTTCGTTCTTTAAATTTTCTCATTTCTTCATTCTTTTAAATGTGCTCCAGGTTGTGTTTAATGCTGTAACTGCTGTCACAGTCATTTCTCAAGGTTTGGTTTAAATGAAGTGCATCTATTCTCATGACCGTGTTGTTTTGATGCCATTATGAGGTTTACATGTGAAGGCGTTACTGAAACTGCACAGCAATAGGATAAGAAGTGAGATGCACAGTGTGAGTTTCATACCCCAGCCATTGTGATGATGCGGCGGATGTTTTTTGTGATGATGAGAGTCGTTTTGGCACGAGTGACAGCCACGTACAGCAGGTTCCACTCATCGTCAGGAATTTTAGCTGTGTGTCGGGGGGAGAAACAACAACAGTTAAACAACATTCCCGCTTTCAGGTAGAAATTATCCTCCTTACTAGACGTGCTTCATGCCACTCGTGATAAAAAGGTCCAAGAAAAAAAACAACAACAACAACCCAAAAAACATAACATACCAAATGAGAATTCAGGACTGTGGCGCAGGTTGTGCTTAGAACAGGGAACCTTGACAAAGTCATCAGTGACCATCACGGTGTCAAACTCCAGACCTTTAGACTTATGGACAGTTCCAACTATGAAGTCTGGAAGGAGAGCCAGAACACAGAGCGGAAAAACAACACTCATTAAAAGAAAGACTCCATCCTCCAGACAATTAAAGTCATCTAATCCTGAAAGAAAAAAGAGAGACAAAAGAAAAGATCTTCCAGCTCATGTGAACATCTCCATAACAATAAAATAAATAGTCTATAGTTGCTGATGGTGAGGTTTGAGAGACAAAGACTGTCACTGAGTAAGAAGACGACGAGTCCCCTGCTTTTTTTCCTCTTGCTTCACTTCCTGGTGCTTGTTCCAATTTCAACAAATCAGCATCAAATTAAATAAAAAAAATTATTAAACACATAGAAAATTATTGAGTGTCGGCAGTGGTTATAGTGATGGCTGCCATCCGCTCAGAGCTCCCTGACCTGCACTCAATCTACATCAGGCGGTGCTGGACCAAGGCCAGGAAGATCGTGAAGGACCTCAGCCATCCCAACAACAGACTGTTCTCTCTGCTGAGGTCAGGAAAGCGATTCCGCTCCCTGAAGACCAACACAGAGAGACTGAGGAGGAGCTTCTTCCCGCAGGCGATACGGTCTCTCAATCACACACCACACAGTACTGACCCACACATATAGTTCTTACACACACACTGGACATTCTGGACATTGTTTCACTTAAATCACTTTAAGCATATTTGCACTGCAAAAGACACTAAATAATGTGGATTGCACAACACTGGTCACTATATTCTTCATTTCCAGTTAATACTTGTACAGCTGCTGTTATTGTGTATATATTTATTTATATTTCTCATACATTCTTATATAGTTCTATATTGTGTATTTTGTTGTACAGTTATTTTATTTTCAACTTTGATTTATATATTTTATCTTATTCCTTCCTAGTTAAATTTACCCTTTTTAATTTTTCATATTTATTTCCTATCTTATTCATAGCCTTTTCCTTTTTTGTTTTCTTTAGGTCACGAGCAGTTGTCCAAGCATTTCACTACATATCGTACTGTGTATGACTGTGTACGTGACAAATAAAATTTGAATTTGCTCAGTCATCCAGATAAGTAAATCCCAAAGAAGATTGTTCTTCTGGACGTAGCGCTCTCAGTGCGAGAAACGTTTCTTCACTCATCCAAGTGACTGCAACTGTACTTTTTATAAGATTGGGGAAACCCGCAGTGAGCTGAGACTGAAGAAGTCACCTGGATGAGTGACAAAACGTTTCTCGCACTGAAAACGCTACGTCCAGATGAATAGAATAAACTTTTGTGCATTGAGGCTGTGGGTACTGGTAGTGTAGTGATAAAGGGAGGATTTTCTTGACACACCTTTGGGTCCATTATCAACAACTGAGCATTGTTTAAACATGACAACCACATGAAAGAAGTCCCAATGTACCCATCAGAAAACGGGTACATTGTGTCCTCCAAATCTGAGGTCATAGTCCTCAGCCGGAAAAGGGTGCAGCGCCCACTCCAGGTTAGGGACGAGTTTCTGCCCCAAGTGGAGGAGTTTAAATATCTCAGGGTCTTGTTCTCGAATGATGAAGAAGAGAGCGGGAGTTCGACAGACGGATTGGTGCTGCAGCTGCAGTGATGCTGATGCTGTACCGGTCCATCATGGTGAAGAAAGAGCTGAGTGTAAAAGCGAAGCTCTCAATTTACTGGTCGATCTACGTCACTAACAGGAGATTCACATCATGTATGTGCAGCTGACAAATCTGAAGCAAGTCTGTGATTATGTTATGTCATCATGAAACAAAAACTGAAGTGGAACTGGAAGCAGAGCTTTCAAATGGACAACACACACAAGCAAATTCAAGAATAGCTAAAAATGAAGTAATGGATGTTTATGCTCCACCAAAGTTTAAAAAAAAAAGTGAATTCCCCAGAAATGCTGTACAAACATTTGAATCTGGCTGCATGCAAAAATCTGAAGGGGATTTTTTATGAGTGTGGTTAAAATAGCACCATGTAGAAAGCAGAAGTTGTCTTTTTTCCTCCCACGACATTCCTCACTATTGTAGTTACATCGTATCCTACTACGTTCTAAACGGAAATACAAAATCCAGTTTTTCAGTGAATGTAAAACCTAAAGAAACAAGCAAGAATCAGGAAAAAACTGAGCTGCCGTTTCTTCATTTTTCAGCAAACACAAAATTATTTTAACTTCTAAAATCAATCCCGCTTTTGATACCCAAAAAGACATTTTCCATCCTTATTTGAGGAAAGGAATAAGTGTTTCTATCTTGGCCAGGTCTCCCTTGAAAAAGAGGTTTTTAATCTCAATGAGATCTTCCTGGTTAAATAAAGGTTAAAAAAAATAAATTTAATTCTTTTTAGTAACTGAAGTCACTTTATTAAGTTATTATTTTTCCAGGCTTCTTTGTGGATAATGCAGTGTGTGTGTGTGTGTGTGTGTGTGTGTGTGTGTGTGTGTGTGTGTGTGTGTGTGTGTGTGTGTGTGTGTGTGTGTGTACCTGCATTGCATAAATCGTTTTCAGAACAGGCCTTCAGTCTTGACACCAGCTCGGGGATTCGTTTCCGATACTTTTCCACGATGGTCACCTTTGCTTGGAGTTCATTATCTTCTGTTTGTTCAACATATTTTTTGAAAGCAAAGAAGGGATTCTCACTTCGACGAGAGGCGAACGAGCGGATCAGGGGGTCCCTGATGTCTGAAAGCAGAGAAAGTTCAACATTAGTGTCCGAAGTTTGAGTTCTTTGAAACGCTGTTTTTCCTTTTTTTACTTCATTTGTAAAACTAGAGCAATAACACAGCACAGAACAACGGAAATAAAGAGATTATTAAATATGTCCTGATCGTGGTTAAAAGAAGGAGTATGAATAAGGTTGATTATCACTGCAGGGTTATGGACTTGAGGACTTCGTGGACATCTTTAATATTTGGATCATGATCAGAGGAAAGATGTTACCTCATGGATCTTTGAATACCTGAACTTCCAAAACACATTTGGGAACTTTTCAAGAGTTTTTTAAACAAACAGTAAATGAAAGTGCTTGAGAACCGGACTCCCCACCAAATCTTTTGAACTGAACAAAACTTTTCAGATGAGAAGTGAAACGTCTTTGGAAACCTAAAAAATGAATCCCATTACCTTCAAGTTAAGCGCCTGACCTGGATGACTGAACCTACACAAACAAAGCTGTTGAAAGTATTAAAAGCCTTTTACCTAAAGGAAATAAATTATAATTACAGAATAAAAACTTTCTTTTCATGGGCCAGAGATACACTTTGTTATTTACTTTTTTTTTCTTCCCCTAAACAAAGCAACAATATGATTATTAGGATTTTGAAAGTTGCTGCTAAACAGCCACCTTCAGTCCCCACAATCTAACAGTAGCTGGTAAGATATGTTCGGCTCTGGTATCAATGGCAAGCTATAGAGCCACTCCAATCAGAAGATGGAGCAGATGGTGTAAAAAAAGTGCTCAATGCAGTTTGAAAGAGAGCAGATGGATTAAAACATGCATACAATTTATTTATTTGGCAAAGCAAATATACCACAAATATACTCCTGTCACAATATTCTCATGCTATGAGAAATACTATATTCCATTGCTGTGTATCATTTTATTCTTACAGTGAGGTCTTCGTTCTCCTTCTTGGAGCTGCTGCCCTGTTTGCTGCAGCAGGTGCCATACATCCATGATACGGTCCAGCCCGATGTTCTTTATATCCTGAAGGAAAATATCAATATCACGTACTGATTTCTAAACGTTACATACATTGATAACAAACAATAAAGTCTTAATTTTTGATCAAATTTAACCCGCAACGTAACGCATCCCTTCGTATAATTATATGTGGATACACACTCACGCCGATGAAGTGGAGCCTGCAGCTGGGATTTGCATCTGTAAGTCGAACGGCTTCACTAAACACGCCGAAATTGCACCTAGATAAGATGGCTGTCTTCCCTCGGCTTTGGCATGCACCTGCCCCCACAGCCTCAACGACTCTGTCTGCAGCATTGTCACACACCCCGCCTACAGAATAAATAAAACAGTCAAAATCAATTATGCTCAAGTCTTTAAAAAACTGAAACTGGTTCTGAAAAACCACATATTTTTTCATTTTTAGGAAGAGTTTACCCTTCTGGTTTCCTCCAACAAGAATTTTCTGAACTCCCTTGCAAACTTTGAGGATGGTGGCACCCACATAGGCGATCTCAGCACCAAATCGAAAGCTCTGGACAACATAAATGGCATGAAGGTTTAATAATAGGAGCAAAAAGATTATACATGCTTGATCCTTTTTTTTAATAAAGACATTTAGAATTTACAGTTGAATAGCAGGGGAAAGTACAACTGCAAACTTTATAACATGCTTCAATACAATTTTATTTATACAGCACCAAATCACAACAGCAGTCACCATTTGAAGGTAAAGACCCTACAATAACACAGAGAAAGCCACAATAATCATACGACATGAGCAAGTACTTGGCGACAGTGGGAAGGAAAAACTCCCTTTTAACAAGAAGAAACCTCTGGCAGAACCAGGCTCGGGGAGGGGCGGCCATCTGCTGTGACCGATTTATTTAGGGTGAGAGGAGGAAAAGATGCACACGAGGCAGTTGTCTTCCTGCTTGCAGGCGTCAGTCAGCTACTTGACACACGCCAACATAAGCAGGTTAAGTGAAGATAACATGCTACTTGAAACTGATAGCAGTTTTTCCCTAGTGACATCATAATTCCTGCTGGAATATTTGGAAGAATCAGCCCAAGTGAAGCTGCAATCTCCCACGTTTAAGCTGAATGAGTGAGATGGTCACATGTCCTTTAATCTTCTTCAACTGCAACCTGATGTGCATTGTAACTGCTGATGTGCATGACTATGAGCTACTAGCTAATATTAGCTACTACTAGATTTAAGGTTTTAAGTTTTCCTTGGAACTCCAAACTGACTGACAACATGCCAAAGGAAACTGCTGGTGTGGTCGCACTGTGCTAAAATGGAAAACAGATGGCCAAAAAGCTGAGTTTAAGCTTTGTTTACATGTCACCAGACTGTATCTGATGCCTCCTCTTTCATATAAACAGATGCCAAATTCAACAGTTCAACTCTTCTGGGACAGCCTTCTACAAGATGTAGGAGTGTGTTTATGGGAACAAAAACATTCTTTTTGATGATTATTCCAAAAGCACATTTGAGGTCCAGACTGTTCCTGCAAAGTTGGGAGCATGAAGTTGTGCAACATGTTTTGGTATGCTGAAGCGTTAAGGGTACCTTTCAGTGGAACTAAGGGGCTAATCCAACGCTTTGCATTCCGCTTGATGATGCAAGGCTTGAATGCAGCTGCTCAGGCATGAAGCTCTATACCCACCGCTCTTGAGCTAATCTGAAGCCTACATGAACTTTGGAGGTCTGCGGCGATTGATTTTTCAGAAAGCCTCTGCACACTATGGGCCTCGGCACCTGCTGACCTCGTTCTGTGATTTTATGCGGCCTACCATCTCAGGGCTGTGTCACTGTCATTCTCAATCGTTTCCCCTTTGTTATAATATCACTAACATCTGACTGTGGAATATTTAGTAGCGAGGAGCATGTGGCATCTATCACGGTACCACACTGGAATTCACTGAACTCTTGAGAGCGATTCTATCACAAATGTTTATAGAAGCAGTCTGTATGCCTGGGTGATTTTAGCCACCTGTGGTCATGGAAGTGACTGGAACACCTGAATTCAATGATGTAGATGGGTGAGTGAATACTTTTGGCAGTATAGTGCATCTTTCTTCTTTTGCTGCATTTGTCAACTTTGACACATGTGATGCTAAATAACATTTTCTGTCCACGTTTACCACGGTGTGTTTGGGTAGTTGTGTGTACCTGGGTGAGGTAATAGATGTGGGTGTGTTCAACAACATTCAAGGCATTAACAGCTCCTCTGAAGGTGTAGATCTGCTGATGAGGATCGCCAACCAGGATTTTCCCACAGCTCTGAGACAGCAGCACATCCATGATGGCTGAAACAAAACAAACAACAGTCAGTGGACAACATGAAAGCATAAAAGCTGAGCTAAATCATCAAGGATTTGCTTTTCTGCAAACATGTGAGCCTGTGGGAGTATTTCAGTACCGGGAGTGCAGTCCTGGGCTTCATCAATGAAAAGAGCATTGTATGCACCCGACAAGCAAGGCTTTGGGTCTTGGAGCTGCCATAACTTTAGGTAACCTGGGAATGAAATGTTCCAGTGATCCTCCATCATTTCTTTACACAACGTAGTAAACATAATTATATTTCTTCATTTCACAGTTGGCGTACCATCGTGGGTCATGTAATAGGCATCTTTTGACTTCTCATTCAGATCCTTCATTTTTTTCCAGATTCTCTGTGCATCACAGACGACCAACTGAAACAAGGATTTCATGATAACACAAAACACACTTTAGATGTAGCTTCATAATAATTTACTTCATAGGTACAGCCGATCTTTTATATACTTTAAAACGTTTATACCAGTTTTTCATCATGATCTATATCCTTGCGGAAGTTGTTTTTAGTCACACGAGAGTTGGGAACATGTCTTATTGTGATGGTTTCATCTGTAGAAGCCATAAAGGCATTGAGGGTTGTCATAACCACTTTGGCCTTGGTGAAGCCACCGCGGCCTTTGGGCAGAACAGAACTGATGGCGAAAGCCTTCATGTTAAAGGTCAGCTTGTCACGGAATTTGTATCTGAAAGGGAGAGAAGAGAGCACGATAGTATTAAAACGAAGGCCTGCCATCACGTGCATCTGAGAACTCTGATTCTCACCTCTTCCCTACGTCATTATAGGCCAACGAGTGGACGGTCTTGCAGTCCACGTTCCTGGGGAAGCGGCGGCGTGCCTCCGAAGCCACAGAATTGTTGAAGGCCACATAAAGGAAGCGAAGGTCCGGCCGCTGCTCAGCGTACTTCACTAGTGTGGTAGTCTTCCCAGTACCTGTGTCACACAGCACTGACCTTTAATGAAGCTACGACACAAAGACCTGTCATCTGCAAATGTAGCCTACATCACACAAGCTGCACTGATGACAAAAGATTCATATTTTACATCTATGTTCCCTACGGGCTGACGGCATCTTTATACCACTGTCTGCTGCAGAACCTTAAAGAGACCGGAGGTAAAATGGCTCATTTCAGGCTAAAAGGCTTCATGTAATCATGTAATGCTCCTCCAGGGCAATCCCACAGCTATAACATAAAGAAATGAGCGCATAAAAATTAGCATATTAGACCCATTTTACCAAGGTGTTATAAAGGAGAAAGAGCGCCCTCTGGTGATGTCTCAAATCCTATAGCATTAAATGTATTTAGTGCAGACAGTACACGCAATGGGAAAACTTAATAAAAATGGACATTGCAGTGTTGTTCTTCCATAAACATTCAATCCACTGGCCAGTGACACATACTCTGGCTGACCTAAAAGATTCATGTAAGGGCACTGTCTCCAATTCCACTTCTTTACTGTACCTGCAAATGCTATTATCTTAACCACGTGGTCATCCTGGATATTGTGGCTGAGGATCTGCTGCTGTTCTTGCGTGAGGTGGATCTGGGGCCGCCTAGCAGAGACACCAGAAACAAACAAAAAAAAGTGCTAAAACTCCTCAAGCATCAGTCCAGCTCTAATTATTTAAATGTCTGCTGAATATTACATATACAAGTTCAGAAAAAAGAAAATCACACTGGCTGTTAGTTTATTATGTGAATAAGCAAAAATCAATCAGAAAAAAATGGTCTCCAGTGAATTTGAGTTTGGCCTGCAGTTTGAATCCCTCTTAAGACAGTTAAACAAACATCATGAGCTGAAACAGGATTAGATCCAGAAAAAAAAAAAAAAGGACTGAACCTCCATCAAGGAAGGTTTAAGCAACTTGCAAGTAATTATGACGGTGTAAGGGGAGGAGGACTCGCTCTTTATGTAAACAACCGCTGGTGTTCCTCTAGTCACGTTAAGGTGAGGACGGCTGTGCGTAATAAACACACTGAACTGTTAGCAATCAGTCTTCGACCATATTATCTACCGTGAGAGTTTTCCCTCGTCATAATTATCATTGTTTACTCCCCTGGGCAGGGCTGATCACAACCTTGTCCACCTCCAGCCCTTTTACAAACCTATCATGCCGAGGCAACCTGCAGTCACAAAAATTGTTATAAGATGGACAAGGAAGACAGAAGAGACTCTGCAGGGCTGCTTTGAGGCAACGGACTGGGATGTTCTCTGTAATGCTCATGGGGACAATTTTGACAATCTGACTGGCTGTGTTACAGACTATAGCAACTTCTGTGCGGAAAGTGCGGTTCCCAAAAAAAAAAAAAACCTTCATTGCTTCCCCAACAATAAATCTTGGGTAACCAAAGACATCAAAGCTACGCTAAACAAGAAAAAGAGATTTTTCAGAAACTGTGACAAAGAACAGTTGAAATGTGTGCAGAAGGAGCTTAAAGCCAAGACTGCTGAGGGAAACAAGTCCCTCAGAAGAAAGCTGGAAAGCAAACTCCAAGAAAACAATACCAGGGAGGTGTGGAAGGGAACGTGGGCCATTACTGGCCTGAGACAAAAGAGAGGTGTGTGGATGGATGTTGAATGCGCAATCAACCTAAATCTGCACTTCAATAGGTTTGACTGCCCTGCATCTCCTGTCCCCACACCCAGCTCTTCCCATCTTCTCCATTTTCCTCCCCCCCTCCTGCTCCCTCAGCCTGTCTCTCTTTGTCCCTCTCAGCAGATGACATCAAAAGGGAACTGTGCATACTCCACTCCAGCAAATCTGCTAGCCTTGATAGTGTCTGTTCCAGGGCCCTCAGGTGCTGTGCTGCCCAGCTGTCTAGAGCTCTATATCAGATCTTTAACATGAGTCTGAAAGTGCAGAGGGTCCCATCACTCTGGAAGACATCCTGCCTGGTTCCTGTGGTTCCAAAAAGATCAACCCGTCGATCCCCAGTGACTACAAGCCAGTGGCTCTGACCTCACACGTCATGAAGACACTGGAGAGACTCACCTGCATCTGCTGGTGGAGCCTTGGCTGAACTCCTTAAAGTTTGCTTATCAACCCCGTATCGCCGTGGAGGACGCCATCACCTACCTGCTGGACCAGGCTTATTCTCATCTGGACATTGTTGAGAGCATTGTGAGGGTCATGTTCTTCGAATGCTTTTAACACGATCAGTCCATCAATGCTGGGCAATAAGCTCAAGAAAATGCAGGTGGATGCATCAACGGTAGCTTGGATTACGGACTATTTAACAAATTGACCACAGCATGTCTGGCTGAAGAGCTGCCACTCGAATAACATCCTAAGCAGCACGGCAGTGCTGTCCTATCACCATTCCTCTTTACCCTCTACATGTCTGACTTCAGGTACAAGTCTCAGTCATGTCATGTGCAGAAAGGAGGAGGAATACAACAGTGTGGTGGACAGCTTTGTTGTGTGGTGTGAGCTAAATCATTTCCAACTTAACATCGCAAAGACAAAGGAACTGATTGTCGACTTTAGGAAGCATGCTCCTCCTCCTACCCCTGTAACCATCAGAGGGGCTGTTGTGGAGGCAGTTGAGGACTACCGGTACCTGGGGGTACACACTGACTGTAAACTGGACGGTCCAAGAACACAGAAGCTGTCTTCAAGAAAGGCCAGAGCTGGCTTTTCCTACTGATGCAGCTTAGGTCTTTTAATGTTTGTAGGAAAATATTTACCAAGTTCTATCACTCTGTGGTAGAGAATGTTGTGTTCTTTGCAGCTTTGTGCTGCGGCAGTGGGGTGAAGACAGCTGATGGCAACAGGCTGAACAACCTGGTTAAAAAGGCTGGTTCTGTCCTGGAGAACCCGGTGGAGGTGTCTGAGAGGAGAATGCTAGAAAAGTGTCTCAGTATCATGGACAACGCCTCCATGATGGGCCATCGGAGCACACGTAGAAAAAAAAACCTCATCGCCTCTGAATGCAGAACTGACCAGCACAGGAAATCCTTCCTGCCGGTGGCAATAAGACTGTACAACTCTTCTTTCATCGGTAGATGATTTTCTAGGATTAATATGATTGTATTTTGTTCTCACTCAGATTGTGCAATATTATTCACCTGTATGTTACTGAATGTTTGTTTCATCCCCCCATCATTGCTGCTACTCTCTTTATTCATTGCACTAACATTATGTCACTTGTCATAATTACTTGTAGTAATAGTTATGTTATTTTATCTGTCCTCATTTTTTCTCTTGTTGCATTGAGCATGTTTGCGACAAAAGAATTTCCCTCGGGATAAACAAAGTTCTTCTTATCTTAATCGGTTATTGGGCTTCACCTAATGAGAGTTTACCAGAGCTGACTGAAACTGCTGAGAATTATAGGATCAGTTGGAATAAATTCTTGCAACAACAAGAGAAACGCTTCAAATAACATACAGAAAGAAAGCTTGCTGAGCCGCTCTTATTCAGTCTTCTCAAAGTATTGAATAAAATATCGATATTTAGCGTCCCTGTATCGGTATTACAGAACTAACATATTTTGACCTCACCTGCTCTGTGGAGAGCTGACAGGGAACGGGCCATTCTCCATCAGGTGGAGGACATAGTAAATGTTGTAATGAAACCTGAGCAGGCAGAAAAAAGAAAAACAAACAGTGTGACGAATGATGAGAACAGAAATCCGGATTGCTACTCGTTATTCATCTTACCTGTTACTGACAGTGACTTTGTTCCTTTCTAAAGCGAGCAGCATCATGGCCATGTGGCAGAGGTACTCTGTGATGGCCGAGTGTGACATGCAGCCCGTGAGCAGAGACACCAAGGCCTGCACATCACCAACACCCTCACTCAGGATCAGTATGACAGCCATGGCTGCATACGGGTTAGGACCCTGGAAATCAAATCCATTGTGGACACACTTTAAAACTCAGATTGTCTCTATATGATCACATGGCATTTTTTATGTATTAATGAGCGAGTCATACAGTAATTCCAAGGTTAAAGTGCTTCTGAACATCAGAAATACGCAGTCTGATGGAGGCCTCAGCTTGAGGGAAAAGGCGATGTTTCTTTACACGCTCCAGAACGTCATCTGGCCTCAAGCGCTCTCCAACCTTATGCTGAGCCATTAAACTGATAATAAAGACAACACACACAAACACACAGAGTGACATTTTAAAAATGAGAAATTGATATCAAATTCCAGTCACACACGATGTGAGATCAGCTTATTTACACTTTTTTTTTTTTTTTTTTTTTTTACAGCGAGGGTGGCCACAGCAACTCGTATACAGGAGAGACTTGCATCACTTCCCAAACCAACCTTCCCAGTCAGATCAAAAACAGTCATATTGGAATCATATTAACCAGAAATACATGAATAATTTTCTGCAGTTCTAGGCGAGACTTCTTGTGGTGGATATTTTACAAGAACTTCAACTGTTTTGTAATTTTTCTTATTAAAGAAAGAGTAACTTACACAACTAGCTTTCGTATGCTGTGCTCTGAAGGTGCTGGCCCTGTTATACCGCTGTTCCTCAGGATGGAGCAGATCTCCATCTCTGTATGCCTCTCTCTCATCATGTAGCGATAGTATTGTTTCTTGAAAGGCACAAACTGTGAAGAGAAGCACATCCAACATGACTTTGACATTTCGCTCCACGTGCTCATTTTCATTTTGCGATTGTTGTTTGGTGTCATCTTACCGTGCTGTCCTGGACGATGTTCCTCCAGCGATGGCAAACGAGCCTGACATTGAGGTACAGGTCCTGGGCAGGTAGGAGGCACAGCACCTCTCTCAGCACCTCCTCTGGAAGGTCGTCCATGCAGCCCTGGGGTTTCAGCAAGCCGCTTCTGCTGCCCAGGAGCCCAAAGTGGGCATCGGGAAGGGCCTCCACCTCCTCTTCTTCATTATCAATGTCACACTGGTCAAATTCATCATCATTCCCAAACATCTCAGCCGTCATTCCCTCCAGATAATCCACCTGCTGCTCTTCCTTCACCTTAGACTGCGGCATCATCTCAACAGCCAACAGGTTGGCATCGTCAATCTCCTCCTCGGCTGCCTCAGGCTCTGGCATCATCACAGCAGCTAAAAGACTGTCATCGATCTCCTCCTCCTCTGTTACCCTGAGCTGTGGTGCCAAAGGTACAGCCAACAGGCTGATATCGTCATCCTCATCCTCCTCTTCTTCTGCAGCTCTTGGCTCTTCCTTGGAGGTGGAAGGCAGGGAGGATTTGTGCGGACTGGAGCTGAGGACTCTCGCCACAGAAAAAAATTCATTGATACCCTTTTGTCTCCCAGAAGGACTTCCTGTGGCAGGTGCTAAGAGAAAAAGGACAAAGATTTATAATCTGATTCTTTAGACTTTTTGTCAAAAGGCAAAAAATACATCCATAAATCATTGGTTTAGTTTAGTAAGGTTGTCTGTTATGTTCTTTCATTTCTTTTGGTGTCACTGAGCTGCTAAGTGTTGATTTATCAAATTCTAAGGTCTTTGCCGATCTCTGATAGTTTTATTGGTGGTTTTCAGCCTTATTTGCTCCAACATATCTTTGGGTCTCATATTTAAAATTGCATTAAATTTACAGTTAAATGCAGTGCACTTCAATCTTGACTGCTTGGTTTACAGTCCACTACAAAAACTGTGTCTTCCTCCTAAAGACATGACACAAAGAAGCTGGGGTGGCTGTAGCTCACGTGGTAGAGCAGGTCATCTGTTAAGCAGTCAGCACTTAACAGTTATTGATTGGGTGAATTAATTAGTTGTATAAAGCACTTTGAGTGCTCATATAGAGTTGAAAAGTGCTATGTAAGAACCAGTCCATTTAACATTTACCAAGTCACATGCTCAGTGTTCCTTTTCTCACACCACACTGTAATAAAAGCTTTACACCACATTACCAAACTTTGGCCGCTTAGTGGGTGTCCTGGGGTAAAGCCCCCGGTTCGGATCACGGTTGCCCATCCTCTGGTTAAAGGTGTGAGGCCGGGTGAGGACTGCTCTTTGTCCCAGTCCATCACAGTCTTCTGCATTCAGGTGCCTCCTCTTGGCCTTTCCTAGGAAACCACACAACATCCAGCCGTGGCAGAACAATTCAAATCACAGTACTGGGATTATCCTGCATGCAGGGTAAGCCTTTCCTTAGATTTCAGCCTACAATTGTTTGCTAACTAGTTTACCATTAAAGATTATATTCAGTTTTGTGGGATAAAACAAGGCAACAAGTCTAAAAAAATCTCGTTAAAACTTTATTTTTCGTATACGTGCATTTCAAAAGTAGTACATGAGTACATACAGTGTACTTAGCTTTAAATCCTGAACTTACCTTTAACAGACACCTCCATTTTCTGCTGCTACACCTACAATCTTTCAGTAACAAAGCCCCATAACTTCACGTAAAGAAGTCTTTACACACGAACAGCCGCCGAAAATACACCCGTACCGTCCAAGCTAACGTCCACAAACGATCACTGCTAGCCCGTGTGTGCCTGCTAACATTAGCAGTACTTCTCCCAGAAGTACTGCTAATGCAAAAACTACTTTAAAAACGCGCCTGCTCCTAAATGTAAGCGGACTAATTTAACGTTAACAGGGATTCATTGGAGAAAACGTGCATGTATGTTTTTGTTTTCGAGGAAAGCTTCTGAAGTTGCAGGTCTGGTGTAATTGGTCGGTTTGTTCTTCTTTGAATCTCAAACCAACTTGAAAGGCGCATCATCGCCACCTACTGGAAAGCTGAAATTCGCATTTTGCGACATCGAGCGAAGTTCCAGTTTTTCAATGGCTTGATCCAGATGCCACAAAGTTTTTGCAAAAGTGAGCAAGAACGATTAATGTAATCAATTTAAAAACTGATTAAATAAAATATAAAAGATTATCCTCTTATTTAAATGACAAACTGATTTGATTAGTAGACCCTTAACATAACAGACAGAACTCTGGCTTACAGGGCTCATTTACACATTCCCTGATCTTATTTGAAATGGCAGCCATGTTTCTTATGAGCATTTACAACTGTAACAGCAAAAAAATAATAATATTTTTTTTAAAAAAAAATGCATCATAATAGTTCGATGTTGATTAAAGTGAGCACTCTAAGCATTTGCCTTCAAATCATTTTTTTGTTCCACAAATTTCTTCACCAAAGCATTAAAAAGTAAATTTAAAAAAAACCAAACAAACAACCGTGTAGTTTCCATATCTTTGTTTGTTAAAGTGTAAATTTTAAAACAGAAGCACATATTCCAGAACAAGTAGGGGGAATATGTTTATTCATGGGTCAGTAATTTCTAAGTGCTAGGGTAAATACAGTACCAATCTCCAGGTAATTGCACCGCATCAATGTTTGAGGCACAGCAGTCACTGAAATCAATAGAGTTCATTTGCTGTACATTACAGAGAAGTTACGCTCTTAAAATGTTAATATATCTGCTAATTATGTTAACGTTATCACTTTGTGACAGTTTTTGTGACCAATGGCTCCTTTCCATTCTGAAATGACCAAAGGAGACATGAGCTGGAATTATTCAACTTAGTGAAGTCTGTTTTTTCCCCACAAAGCCCAAACAGCCAGCTTTTAAACGAGTAATTAGTTTGAGGTGGATTTTTCTCTCATTAAGTCAAACAGTATGTAAGCACATGTAAAGGAATGTTTTCAAATCAGTAAATACAACCTACAAGAACCTGTGTTAAGTCAAGCTATCTTATAAAAACTTGGAAACTACTATTTGTCAGGCTTAAAGCCCAACCATGATTTATGGTGGAATCTTCACACCAAGAGCAAAAACTGGTCCAGCACATGTAGTGTAAACAGGGCTTCTTCATAGGTTTGCTTTCTCACAGCTTTGAATTCCTCCTCTGCCTTCAAGTTTTCAGTTTTGAGTATGATTTTAAACACATAGCTCTATTAGTCCCAAAAGCACAAATATTTTGATTTCACAATTTGAAATAAAATTAAAAAAAATCCTAATTTTTAAAAACACACGTCCAAATTTTGCGCTCTATGCAGAAGCCCCGTGTAACAAAAAAGAGACTATTTCTTCCTGTCAATCCTCATCTTCAGCGGGTTGCCTTCACTGCTTCAGCACAGGCAGCTCTCTTGGCTTAAAGAAGGCCTGAGCCATCCCCATGGCGAAGATGTACACCCTAGCATCCACCATTATTTTTTCCTTCTGCAACAAATCTGTGGGGTAAAATGAGGGAAGCTCATGTTAGGCTTTAATTCTTACAGTCTGAATGCTTGCACAAACATTGGTGTGTGAAAAGTCGCACCGTCTATTTTGGTCTGGAACTCGTCAAGCGGTAAAAGAATAACTTCGACAAATTCTGGAAGGAGAAGATCAATGAAATGGTCACATGGGCCTTTATGTCTGAGGGCTACTTAAAAAGGGAACTGAAACATGACTCACCTCCATCATCTGTGGGGGGAAAAAAAAAAAACAACACAAGAGAACAAGATTAACATAATGATATTGGTTTTTTAAGAAGCATAAAAAAAGGGAAGACTGAGTTTCTCTTCATGTTTTAGGAGGTTTAACACGTGAACGCTGCATAACAGTGGGACAATCTGATAGGGACAGTTCATGTTTGAGTACAGATGCTTATGACAAAGGTAAAACTCACAGGAGACAGCAGATGCAGTTAGTCTTGGTATTGTATCGGATCAATAGCACGACAGGATTGATACTTTTCTAAATTGCCAATTGAACTGCAGAGGCTGGAAGGTTTGAATGTCAAAACCAACTGAGACTTTCGAGCCATTACACTAACCCAGACTGCTGCAGTAGGCTTCAGCATTAGATCAGCTGCTCAAGCAGGTGAGCTACAGTGACATGAAGTCACGAAGGTATTGTTAATTTTTAACAGAAAGATCACAAAATCTTAAATTTACAGATTGGAAAAATGATGAACCAACTACTCATTTTGGCCTAACTTTAATTAACACAACCAAAACCTCTAAATGACCATTTCATCCATTTGTGAATGAATTGTTAAGAAAAAAGAAAAAAGGGCCACAGGCTTGTTAAGGCAGATACTTTGTGTGTGCTTCAATAAACTACACTACCATAACCTCTTGTTACTCCCAGCAATGTAAAAGCCTGCATGAGAAAAGTGAAGATCCAACTACCAAATGAATTCTAGAAGCTGTCCAAGGAGCTCATTACAGTAACGCATTTAAGCACCAAAACTAATTAAGAGTAAGCTAATATTCTCCTACTCTGACAGAAATCATGTTACAGGAGCAATAGTAGAAATAAAAACTCCTTTGTCCCACACACCGTCAAACTGGTTAACTCCTCTCTGGAGGGGAGGGGAAAGGGAAGGACAAAGGAGGGTGGGGAAAACCAAACTAGTGTTTGCAAACAATCACTGAATAAGAACTAATCACTGTGCAATAGACATTTGGCTGCTACATCTCATAAATGAGTATATTTCATTGCCTATTTATATATTTTGCATATATGCTAATATTATATTCTCTCATTCACCTTTACTTTATTTTATATTCCATTTCTTTACTATGCAAATTTCTGTTGGCGTTCTGCTACTGGAAACTGAATTTCCTGGAGGAACCTACCCAAGGGATTAATAAAGTTCTATCCAGGTAAATCATAACATTTTGGTACAGATTAGAAGGCCTATTTCTTTTTTTGTTAACAGTACTACACAGTACTGTGTAGTTTCATCTACAACAACTTGAAGTCTCATGACATCTATGTTTTATCATCTGAGGAAAGAAACAATGTGACTAACACAAGAAAAACGAGCAAACATACTTATTAATTCCTGACAGTCTTGTAGTTCGGAGTTCAGCAACGTTACATCCTCTTCAAGACAGTTTCAGAAACGCTGGCTAACAGCTTCAAAAACAGCAGCGCTTACTGACAGAAAACGTCAACATATCCTCAAATTTTCACCTCACTACAGCTGCCTGACAGAAGTGAGCTTCACCGACTCATGACCTGTATCAGACTCCTTTCACAAAGTTTTACATCCTCCTCCAGAGTAAATAGATGTGGAAGCTCTTCACACAGCATATAAACAGCTAAGGTGAACAGTGGACTGCTGGCCTATACAGACAGCAATAGACACCAGGGTCGATCCAGTCAGGGGTCACTTTGCTATCTGTGGGGAGTCATTTCTGTCCGTGATCATGTCAGATAAAACAGCGACCCATCAAGCATAGCTCAGGGTAAAAAATATATATTTGAAAGACATCAAGATTTCCCTCTAGAATAGAGTTTAATTATTTTAGCACCGGCTTCAGATTACTGCACAGGAATTCTGCTTGTAAGTGAATCTAAGAAAAGTGATGAAGGCAACATGGCCAACTGAATTATGTCCTAAACAAGTTAGAGTAAAAATGAATGATGATGGTGAAAAAACTGAGTTGTGAAATGTTTTCTCACCCAGCTTCTGTGTTGGGTTGATATTCTCCACATCGTCACCATTGATGTTGACCAGGATAGTCTGAATGGTGCAGTTAGACAGACCAGGGTCCAGACAGGTTGCTGCAAGCACAGCAATAATGTTAGCCAAAACAAACTTATCAGTCTACTTAAAAACCTTATCGCTCTTATTGGAATTTTCAAAGATAAAATGTGTATGGACACTTCATCCTGCCGATCCCTGAATTTCTGCAGTATGGTGTGTAATAGTACCTGGAGTGACTCCTACTACTTCTCCTGTGTAACCAGTTTCCTCCTTCAGTTCCCTCAGTGCAGCCGCCTCGGCAGTTTCCCCCTCATCGATCAATCCTAAACAACAGAAAAATAACAAAGTGCCAACTTGGAGATGATTAAGCACTTTTCATTACCCTGGAACATACTCCATCATCGAGCACATCATGAGTGAAAAAACTGACCTGCAGGAAACTCCAGAGTGCAGCATCCCAGAGGAGGGCGGAACTGCTTCACCATCACTACGCAGTCCTTATGCAGCGTCCGTTTCAGCAGAGCGATTATTCCTACACCTGGAGGAAATATGTGTTAGCCTTCAATAACTCTGGCAAAAGCTGAACAACCAGAAAATGAAAGAAGATACGCTCACCATCTGCTTCAGTGTTGGCCCGCCTCGTTGTCCGTTTCACAGTCTCCCAGGTTCTGGAGGTTTAAAACAGGTAATCAAAGTAGTTTAAGGGTGGACCTGTTGTGCTGTTCTACCATCCTTCCTTCCTCTTCCAGTTAAGCTAACTTTCTTCTGCCCATCAAAATCAACATTTTTGAACAGTTGGTGGGTGGGGCTCCTGAGAGGAAACATCCACATAACCATCTACTGACATCGTATAGAGACAAGAGCAGAAAAAAACCTCTCTGAAACGGAGTGTTTCAGACAGGTTTGTACGTCGCTAAGAGTAAAAATGAATGATGATGGTGAAAAAAAACTGAATTATATGTCTACGTCGCTGGGTAGCAGTCTAAGCAGAGATGCTCAGACTTCCTTCTTCCTAGCCACCTCTTCCAAGTCTTCCATTGGAAAGAGTTTTTCCCCAATCCATCTGAGAGACATAACCTCCGCAGCAAATCCTAGGTCTACCCTGGAGTCTCCTCCAAGTAAGACATACCTTGCCTAGAAGGGACCCAGGCACTATCTTAGATGCTCAAACCACTTCAGACGACTCCTTTGTGGAGAGGCAGCGGTTCTACCCCGAGCCCCTTCTCGCCCTCAGCTCAGCCACCACTCGGAGGATGCTTATTTCCAGAGTGTGGATTCGCGATCTCATTCTTTCCATTGCTACCCATAGATCATGACCATTGGTGGGGGTAGGGATGTAGCACTAACAGTAAAACAGTACCGTTGCTTTCACATTTGGCTCTCTCTTCACCTCAACAGACCAGCAATGTGTTCTGTGTTATTCTTTCAAGCTACTCCATTTTATTTAAGCTATTATATTACACATTAAATTTATTGTTTTGTCTGGATAAACACCAAAATTTCCCAAATTTCTAAATTAAATAAAGATCTTTTTGTCACTGCACATACACTCATTATTTTAAACTCAGGCCATGTTTTATATTACTATCCACTATTTATCAGTGTTAATTAATCTCACTGAGAATATGGAAACCCACAGACAGGACAATACCTGGTGTTTCCAGCGGGGTCCACATATGTAGTCTTTTCCAGCTTCACCCATTTCCCTGCCGCAATAAGCTAGAAAACAAACAAACACATACACACAGCTCATCACATGCCTACTGTTCAGTAAACTAACATGGAAGCTCCACATTGAAACTTTATTACTTTAAACTGTATAACACAATTTTTATATTACACAAGTGAAGCCAATTTATAGCCAATGCACTATTATAGCAATTTTATACTGCTAGCGTCGACATTTTTTTTTCTGAACGCCCTCATTCACAAACATTTAAACACACACACCTCTTCTTTCACAATGTGAGGAGCTGCAGTGTCTTTGGGTTCTTCGTGGTTGCTCATTGTTACTGTCCGACTGAAAATGAAAGAAAGACGAGTCAGAAAGCCTGACCTGGGCAGGAAAATACAGCAGTTGTATCGACCCGTGCTTAAACGCTGAAGAGACGTTTCAGATCATGAGCTACTCAATTAGCTGCCAGAGCCAGGCAACTGCAAGACCGTTCAATTTCCCCCTACCTTTCCGCATTTAGCTTTCCTTCCCTGTGTTTCTTTGTTTATTTAACGGCGGGTATCTGCTTTACCCTTCACAGTGCTACAAACTGCCAGAGCTCGAGTATTTCAAACTTTTAACAATCCGGTAAATTTGTAAAAAACACTCAAATTAACTCACGTGAACTCCCTTTCGTGTGTGACTAGTTGTAGAGAGTAGAGAAACGATGATGAGTCACTCTGCTGCAACTTCCTGATACAACAAACGTCACAATAATGGGAAGAACCGAGAAACTTAAATCTATTTCAATAAACAGTTTCAATGTTAACATTTTAATGAAATATTTACAATACAAATCCAGCAATTACTTCATTCTAGTTTTAATGATCGGCTTTGTTTGCAGTTAAAAAAAAAAGACATTTCACGGAAAATACACCTATATATGAATCCGGTTAATTCTTTAAATAAATAACTTTTTTTTTTATTTTTTTACGTTTACAATTGTAGTTTAAGGCATCCACAGTGAGGTCTTCTTTTTAATAAACGATCTCCGTCAGCTCACTGCACGCCTACATGTGCACCATGGAAATGATTCCCTGAGCGAAAACTTATGGCACGGTTTTTAATTGTACCAACAGCTAACTAATGTATTTATTTTCACCGTTTTCTGAGTAAAATTAAAATCATTAAAATCGATTCATAACTGTGAAGATTTTGTGTAATTTCAAGCCAGAATTCTAATGTGTTTCTAAAAGAGATTCGGAAGTTATTTACTGATGGACTCGTTTCCTTTACAGGATATTGCAGCATGAAGAAGGAGCAAGTTGTCAACTGTCAGTTTTCGGTTTGGTATCCGATATTTAAGAAACATACGATTAAAAGGTAAACTGCTAACGTTTGTAGAGCAAGTCCACTGAACGTTTTTATAATTGTTGCTGTAAAATAAAGGGCAGCTAGCCGGCTGCTAACGTTAGCCGACAGACAAAAAGCAGACAGCTGCCCTTTCTGTCTTCGTGAGTGTAAATAGTAAACAGTGCACCCTTCTTCTACTTCTGTGCTTTTATTTCATATATTTTGTTGTTTTCTGTGTATTATATACGTAATGTGGTTCGTCTTGTTTTCCAGTCTGATTCTTCCACTGCCTCAGAATGTAATAGACTATTTACTGGACGATGGGACACTGGTAGTCTCTGGAAGGTATCAGACTACACACACACACACACACACACACACACACACACACACACACACACACACACACACGGTTATGTTTCCTATGTGAAATTTCACAAACGTGTTCTGTCGTGGAAATCACGATTTAAACGTAATTGGGCGTTCTGACAGTTGCTCACAGATTACATGCTGTCTCTTCTGATTTTACACTTTTCCTCATTCTCTCTTCCCTCAAGTGACCACAACACACAGCAGACACAAACTAACAACAGCGACTCAGATGCAGAGGAAGACATTCAGGTAAGCTGGAGCCTTTTTTTCAAGATTGGAAGAACGTCACAGAGATCATAAATGGATCGCACGGTCACTATCGCACTGAATATGACCTAAATAAGTGTGAAACAAATTTAAAACCTTAAATGGGACATATTAAGCTTTTACGTCTTTGGTGTCAAATATGTGCTGTTACAGTGGTGGATGCTCATGTGAAGCATGGCCGATCATGTTTCTAACTCTCTCCTCCCTTCTAGTGGTCAGACGATGAAACAACTACAACAGTCACTGTAAGTTTCCTTAATGGGTCCAAGTGCGCCTCATTTATTTGTTATGTTATGTATTCATTATTATATATTTACAGTTAAACCAAAGACAGTCAATTCGGATGATTACGTAAAACCATTTTGCTAAAAAATAGCCGAGTATCAGTTTGTAGTTTACATTACTTCCATGTATATGTTTCTTCATATGTGTGCTGTTATGTTAATGTAGATATAAGCATTTAAGCTAACTCATTCTGAACTCATTCTTCTTTAAATCAGGTTGCATCTATGTAATAAATGTGCATGACCTCACCTTTAAGCTTGTACTATCATTTTGCTTGGTGAGAATAACAGCCTGAAATGTCATGTTTCTGCCAGGCTCCTGAGTTTCCAGAGTTCACCTCTAAAGTGCTGGAGGCCATAAACAGCCTGGGTGGGCGTGTATTCCCTAAACTCAATTGGAGCGCACCACGGGTAAAAACACTGCTTTCCTCTGCTTCAGATTGAAGAGTGTTAGCATGACCAACATCTGTTTGTCACTAAATGCCTCATGAATTATTCATTAAGGATGAGGGCATATAGTCCTTTTTCTGATGTTAGTGTGACGAAACCATAATAAGTCATGTTTCCCACCTTTGATGTGACCTATAACCTTTACAGTTCAAGTGCAAACCAAATAAATCCAAGTGCCACAAGCTAGTTCCATAAGTGGGCACACCCTTAAGCTAATACTAGTGAAGCACTTTTTGATATAATCAAAACATTCAGTCTATCAGCATGGCAAAACTTGACTTTGCAACATTTTTCCACCAGTCCTTGCAAAACCTCTCCAGATCTGTCAGATTGTAAGGGCGTCTCCTTTGCACAATCCTCTTAACATCTCCCCTCAGATTTTCTGTTTTGATTTGATTTTTCTGTTTGATCTGAAATCCAGCTTTGCCATTCGAATTTACATTTTATTTGAATTTACGTTTAGGCTCTCTGTCATGTCATACTGAAGGTTTTAGGCTAAAAGTGACTGGTATTTGGGAGTGTTCACAATTCCCTTCACCTTGACTAATGCAAAGCAACCTCAAATCATGATTATGCCACCACCATGCTTTACCTTGGTTTTTGCACCAAACATGCCTTTGGAATTGTGTGTGTAGTCTTATCATACTGTAACACATTTTCCCGCATGCTTTTGGGAGACATGATGTATTTTTTGCAAACTGTAACCTGGCTTGGATGTTTTTCTTTCTAAGAAAAGGCTTTTTTATTGCCATCCTACCTCATAGTCGAGACACATGGAGAATCTGGGAGATTGTAACATGTCGGACTCTTGGCAGCCTCATTTTCAAATGATTTATTGTGGTCTCATTTTTTAACAGCACAGCATGTTGTCATTTTAACAGCTGAATGCACACGTTTTATATCCAGTGTAACTTAACGTGTGTGTTTGTTTCCCCTCCCTACAGGATGCGAACTGGATTGCTCTGAACAGCTCCCTGCAGTGTCGCAGCCTCAGTGATATATTTCTGCTCTTCAAAAGTTCCGACTTCATCACGCATGACCTCACGCAGCCGTAAGTCCCGTTGCCTAACAACAAAATCACAATCGTAAACAACTGGGCTCGTTTAAAGAAAGAAAAAAGGAAAAACACCTGGTGTGGTGTGCGCAGGCCCATTTGAACTGGCAGTGTTTGCTGGGCTGTAGATTTACCTCTCGCTGCTTCACACTCCATGACAAACATTCAGTGCGGGGAAAGTGAAAAGTAAATTTTTAAGCTTTTTATTATTACTTTTTTGTCATTTCCATGTTCAGATTCCTTCAATGCAGCGACCAGGACTCCCCAGACCCAGTCATCAACTATGAGGTATATACTTTCTTTTTCCCACCATAAAGAAGAATAGTCTCCAAATGTGTTTTTGTGTCATTACCCTGAGGCTTAATTTACTCTTGCTTTACACATGTTCACAAAATATAATACAACATAAATCTGGAACAACAAAAAAGTAGATCAGATCAGACTCTCTGGCAGCAACAACCATTCAAAGTCTTTTTAATCACCTTACTTAGTTAGAATATCAACAGGCCAGCTTGTCTATGTCTACATGCCTAAATCATCATCATCATTTATTTATTTATATAGCACTTTAAAAACACACCTGGTAGACCAAAGTGCTGTACAATACTAATATGCACATAGTAATAAAACCAGACATAGCAATAAAGTTAAAAAATGAAAAAATAAAAATAAAAAATAAAATAAAAATGTCAGTTACCCACAGAGTTAAAAGCCAGGGAATAAAAATAGCCAATCACATGACAGAAAATGTATTTCTGTCATGTGATTGGCTGATTAGATCATTCTTTTAATGAGCAGCTGAACAGATGCAAATATTGAAGGTGCTATTGAGTGTTTAGCTTCTTGTTTAAAAGGACTGATAGAACAAAAAACCCCTCTGGCTTCTGCTGGTTGCCAACCCCGCGTCGTTATGGAAATAACTGAAATTACTCGAGCACTTAAATCAGCTCACAGTGGCTCTCATCGCTGTTAAAAGATTGCCAAAGTATGGCCCGAGGGCCAGTGGCAGCTGTTAGTAGCATATGGTGAGGATGATGGGTGAAACAGTGTAATACTGCTGTCCCACTGTAATACAGAGCTCAGAGCAAGACCAAGAGAGCGTTTCTGTTCAGTTGTAGCTCTTCTATTTGAGCCGTCACAGCAGAGTAAATCCCTCTGACAATAACAAATATAGCTGGAGTCAAGAAATGCCACCTCTCTTTATGATTAAGAAGAATAAAACCTAGAAAAAACTAAAAGTAAAACCCTTTTCTGAGCTGTCACTTTATGAACACAAACTACAAACGTGTCTTTTTATGGCGCCTCAGTCACTCGCTGGCTCCCAAAGTTGGCATTTTCAGAACCCAACAGAAAAATGCAAAGATTAAAATTTAAGACTTATTCAAAAAACTGGAGACAAACGGTTTCACAAAAAACTTCACCATTTACACTCCTCAACATTTTCAGAAAAAGAAATCATGTTTGATTAGTCTCTTTGCATTGTGACAGCACCTGTTATTATAACCCCGAGCTTATTTTGGTTTTGCAGATTATGAGGGAGCGCTGGCTCTGACTAAAAAGCCTGAGGACTTTCCAGACTCATACAGCAGCCACTTCTAAAACATACCCTGATCTCTATGATCTGTTTGACTCCAAATACAACAGTAATTTCTTAAAAACAAACATTGTATTCAGTAACTAGCTGAGACTGAAAACTCACCAGAAAAGCGATGACTGGGTCATAAGTCAAGAGAGGTCATTTTCTTACAGGCTTGTTTTTCGTGACCTGGTGAGTCATCCTGTGTTGGCCATTAGGCTGTTTGCATATGAAATAAGATTAGTTAATAATTGTCAGCCAACCGCTACCTCAAAAAACAGACACCCACAAACATGAGAGCAACAAGTGGCGACCTTTTCTGACTTCCCCTAATAAGTTTTGACACCTCAGTTTATATCAATAAAGATGGAGTTTGTCAACTATTAGATTGGGTATTAGGTTTTTCCCGAGGGTAGTCCAGATAAGCTATACAGGCAAAGATCACCAGTCACATCCAGTCATTTAGTTCTGGAAGGAGACCTGAAATACAACAGAAACATGTCAGTTCAAAAGAGAGAAACAAGGTTTATCCTTAATACGTGACTAAGGAGGGAAAGAGTTGAAGTAAACAACAGATAAAGAGTCGATTTAAAAAAAAAAAAAAAAAAGAATTGCCTTAAATCCTTTCTGTTCTGCATGAGCTGTTTTATTTATCAGTTTAACTGACAGAGGAGAAAAATGAGTGTTTATAGCTGGTGTGCTTACACAAAGGGAGCCTGTACTTCCTACCAGCATTTATTAGCACAAACTTGGAGTTCAGTCATGTGAAGGATTGGTTAAAATCCTGCCAGCCAGCGAAAATACAAAAATGTCGGGGAAGTCGATCCCATGATTTTTCCTGCCATTCAACTAAAACTTAAAAACTTGACTACTACAGGTGTTAGAGGTGGACTCTATAGAAGCACGCTGGGGAAAAAGAAAAAGAGAACCGAAATCCTGGAGTCTCCAAGGAAACGGAGATGCTGATTGATTGCTTTACAATCACGGCCACATTTATGAGCCAAGTAAACGCACTTTCAGTGTGTTTGTACAAAGTAACCTGTGTAATGTCATTGCTGTGTACAGTAATATTCACATCCCTTTGTTGTTTATATGCATTGCTCAGTGGAATTGCATGAACATAACAGGACTGGGTAAAAAAATACTGTAGTGCAACTAAATAAGATCAAATAAAACAGTTAGAGAGGTTTGATCTGCAAAGGATCCTGCACCTACCATCGTTTCTTCAGTTTTTTCTTTGTTTTTTTGAATGACACCATTTCACAAGCCTGTCCAGTCCTGGTTTAAAATGTCAGACTTGCATGTGAGTAAGCTAAGAATAATGGTGTCATCTGAAAACTTCATTACATATTGATTCAGTTGGGAGTAATTTGCATGCAGAGCACTAACACATTCTTTGGGTTTCCTTGTATTATCAACAAATCTGCTGCCGTATTTAAGTATTTCTATTGGCTTACTAGCACCAGTGTCTCCTCTTTAATGGTTGTCTCACACTCTAACACTTGTCTTCTTTCCTCAGCTGGTACTGAGGAAGTGGAGTGAGCTGATTCCTGGCGGAGAGTTTCGCTGCTTTGTCAAAGAAAACAAGCTGATCGGTAAAAACTGTCCCTCCTCCTCTTTTACACAAGTGTTGTCCATAAATATCTGCACTGCGTTTGATCACGTTAGCCACCGAGTGGCTACAAATGGACATAAAGAGAGTACGCTTCATGCGTGAGACGGGAATTATTTTTAAAAATTCTCTGTACAGTTATTCAGGAGGCTAATTTAGAACCAATTATAAAATGTAATCTAAAGTGTGCTGACGATGTGTCTGTGCGATCTCCCAGCTATCTCCCCGAGAGACTACACGCAGTATTACCAGCACATCCTGAAGCAGGAGGAGCAGATAAGCCAGGCCATTCAGGACTTCTTCAGCCAGCACATCCAGTACAACTTCCTGGATGAAGACTGTGAGCATCAGCCTGCTTTTATTTTTCCCTGTACATGTAAATTTTAATGCAATATATTCAGTTTCGTAAGTTCTCCTCAGACAGAAACAGACTTTTTGTGGAGTAATGAAAGTCATTAAATATGTACTGTTAAAAATGGGGTCATTTAGGCAGGACGGAAATGAAAGCGAAGACTGATGACATTTCACTTAATTGTGATTTTAATGTTTAATGTGAGGTGGTAATAAAAGTTTGCTTTTTGAAGTTGTGCGAGACAGTAGTGTGAATGTTAAATGATTACTCATTCAGATGTTTTTTTCTGCTTTACAGTTGTGTTTGATGTTTACAGAGACAGCCAGGTAACTCGATACTGAATGTTTTTCTTGATAAATCAAAAAAAAACCAACACACACTTTGAGCTGCATTTACTGTATGTGTCTTCGTGTGTGTTGCAGGGGAGGGTGTGGCTCATCGACCTGAACCCATTCGGAGAGGTGACTGACTCGCTGCTGTTCACCTGGGGCGAGCTGACGTCTGGAGAGGTCGCAGAGCAGCAGGTCAGTCATTGTATACTGTATGTCCCGTATTGCAACACACTCTGGAGTCTTAATGAATGCTCAGTGTGTCTGTGGACCTGTGCAGGAAGGCCCGGCGTTCCGCTACACCACCAGCGAGGTGACGGTGCAACCCAGCCCCTGTCTGAGCTACAGAATTCCACGGGACTTTGTTGACCTCTCCACAGGAGAGGATGCATACAAACTTATCGACTTCCTCAAGCTGGTAGGTCCTGGAAAGTTGCATTCATGCATGACGACGTGTTTGTCATGCATGAACACAAACATTGTTTGCCATTCAGGCGTTGAAACAAAAGACATACTGAGTGCATTTTCAGCTGCGGCTGCAGCAGAAAAGACTCAACTTCTTGCACCAGCATGTAGCCCAGGTTCTCTAAAGTTTGACCACTGACTGACCACCATTGTACTAGCAGCTGCAACCTTTAGAGAGCATCCCATCAGTAACCACTGGACATGCTGAGCTCATCTGGTGCTGACTCCGTTACTGCGATCTTCCCCTAAACTTAATCATATGATGTGGAGAGTTTTTGATTAGCATTACCATAAAAAACGTACAAGAAAAGTACTAATTTCTAATGTTATACTCAACTCAAATACTACACTAGTGTAAAATGACAGATGACTGCAGTGAAAGGTTAAACTCTCCTCTCCTTCTTCTCCTGTTCGCAGAAGAAAAGCCAACAGGAAGAGTCTGAGGAGGAGGAGGAAGAGCAGGAGAACGCGCCACAGTGACATCAGCGTCATCGGCTCTCCATATAAAATCTGCATGAAGTGACTCTTCACCCTCTCTTCTGTTTCAGCACCAGTTCCTTCTACTTTTTTTTTTTTTTTTAAATCTCAGAATGGTACGCGGTGTACCCGGGATTTCCTAAATAGCTCCTTCACATTACTCGAATGGAGCATGTTAAATTAGCAGATCGCGTTACCCGTTCCTTAGGGACTCATTTCCTTCGACACTGCCTAGCGCCTTATTGCCGATCTTAATAGAGGCCTCTGCCGTGTCCAGGGGTTGGTTATTTCACTTTTTGACTGTGTTACTGTAAAATGATGTATTCATTAACAATGTAAAGAATGTTTGCTTTTATACTTTGAGCCTGTGGAGTAGTCTGTGTATCTTTATCACATCTCAAAAACAGTCTCTCTTGGTTTGAAATCAATTTGATACACACACACACACACACACACACACACACACACACACACACACACACACACACACACACACACACACACACACACAGTGTCAGTTTGTTTCTTTACCTATGGGGCTGACAGACTTCTCTATTTAGCACCAAAGCCCTTCATCACTGAGTCACCTTTAATTTTCTTGCCAGAAATCCCAGCTCCTCCATCTTTCCCTGCCAATTTCCTCTGAGCAGTTTTGACACAGTCATTGCTCCCAGCGCTCATTTGGAGTCCTGTTATTTCTTTTTTCTCTCTCCCCTCATCACGCATCAATGTAGACTGTTGCTCCAAAGAACACCATTAAACTTCTTTGTCGTGTATTGACTCGGCTGTCAGTCTGGTGGGTGCTGTAAACCAGCACATTAGAAATTGATTGCACTGTTACGCAACAGCTCTCATTACCCCGAGAGCTAAATGAGCTCCGCACGCACGACACAGGGCAGTACTTTTGTTTCTTTTCCTTTTTTCCCCCTTTTCCTCTTCACTGGATTGATGGAGCAATTATGGGGAGATGAAAGAGTGGGTGTCAGAGGTACAGCTCGCCAGGTAAACCGCTGTGGACGAGCAGCAACAGTGTGCATGACACAAATATTGTGAATAATGTCATCATTATGAAACTGAAACGTGTATGTAAACATCCAGTTTGACCTGCAAATAAGGACGAGCTTGTCTGCTGAAATGTGACAAAGGGTATTTGCTGCTGGGGGGAGGGGGCAAATCACAAAATCTGATCGTGATCATAAAGACTAAATAAAGGGTAAATACAAAGCTTAGCTAATGATGAACTCCAGTCTGTGATTAAAAATATAAATGTACACACACACACACAATCGCACTGAGTCCAGTTCATTAAGTGCATCAGGCTAAAAAAAATACAGATACGATAGGCCTGCAGTTACACTCTCTGTTCACATTATTAGGTACACTTGTTCAACTGTTTAAAGTATATGTCTATGAGCCAATCATATGGCAGTAATAAGGGCTGATAAGAAGGCAACAATAGCTCAATTAACCACTTGTATGCAAGGTATGCAGAAGAGTGTCTCTGAGTATCCAACACACTGAACCTTGAAGCAGCAGAAGACCACACCAGGTGTCACTCTTGTCAGCTAAGAACAGGAAGTTGAGGCTACAGTTCATACAGGCTAAGTAATACTCGTCAGCAGAAGATTGGAAAATGTTGCCTGGTCTGATGAATCTCTATTTCTGCTGGGTGTGATCGCCATGGTTGCTACCTTTATTCTGCCGTCAATTTTGATCCTCAGCATCTCCTTGCAAGTGGTTGGGCATCATGTGCTTCAGTTAGACTAATGTCCTTTACCAGGGCTGCCTCATCATATCCATGCTGCTTATGCTAAATGCTGTGCAGTAACCTCTGGAGCTCCAGCTTCAGTCATATCTGTGTTCTATTTGTGTTATAGCACTGAGCTGCCACGTGCTTCTCAGTCATTGTGGATGTTTGTTTTCTGCTATTCTATAGTTCCCATGTGTTGCATATATATCCGCTGTCATTGAGTCAGCTGCCAGTTCATTGAGTCCATGTATGCCCTGTTTCAGACATCTTTTCAGTTTGTCGTTGTTCCTCAACAGCTGACTTCCAGGCTAGTATAGTGTTTTGTGGATACTCTTACGGAATGCATTCCCTGACCAGGATTGAAACCCTGACCTATTGTTCCAAAGACAGTAATGTTTAGTACCGCAAAATCCAGCTTCTTTGGTTGGCACCTAAGCAAATGTGTCAACCCCAGCTCCTTAATATGGTAGATCGTGACTGCATTTCAGTATAACATCAGCTGCTAAAGAAATCCTTTCATCCATCCACACATTACATCAAGTCAGATGTCAGGTAGGATGGAAGCTGTACTGAGGGTGGGGGCTGGGAGTGGATCGTTTAATACAAGACATTTCAGAGTGTGAAATCGTTGGAGGGTTTGACATTAGAGGAAATATGTATATCAGCATCTCAGCCAGGCAAATGATTTCTGTACGTGCGCACATGTCTGCATTTAAAATATCAGTGTTCAAGCTGCAGGCAGTAAGTGGGCCCCATTCGTCTTCCTTGACCTTCATCTTCTTTTTTAACCATGGCTCTAACACCCACCTCGGATCCTCCCTCCCTTTGCAGCCGGGTAATCATCTTTCACCGGGGGAGGTCAGATTTGCTGACTCAGAGAAAAAGACTAGGATGAGGGGGGAGAAGCGGGGGGGGAGGGGGGGAGAGGAGTTTTCCTCGGATGCTGCTGAGGAAGAGCTGCAGTAGTTTGCAGCCGGAATACTCATGAGCAGCTGAAGCTGCAACACATTGTCCTCCACCCCCCTCTCTCTCTATCTCTCTCTGTCTCCTTATAGTGCAAACATAACCTAGTGTGTGTGCGCGCGTGTATGTGCGCGTGTGTTGTGGGCAGTAACGCGGCCTGAGCTGACCTCAGCCCCTGCAGCTGTCAGAGCCCGGGGATCACCGCTCTTTCCGTCTGCAATCCAGGTGTTATGAGGACCACTGTAACTTAGGTGAGCACGCTGCTGCAGCTGGGCTCCCCGCTGATCCCTGGGCGCCCCGCTGAGCCACATGGACGCCTTTAGGGATCCCACATGGTGATGAATACGTGATAGCTGTTGTCATAATGCTGGCGCATTGCGAATTTGCTGCTCAAAAGAAGTAGCAGGATGCAAGGAGCAGCATTCCACCGGCTCCCTTTAATGTCATAACACTCACTACCAGAGTATGACTTGGACGCAGTTGTTAAATAAACAATCACAATCATAGAAGCAAAGAGGTGGATTTGAACACACTAGATATTTTGTGCAACAGTGGGAACCACCCTCCTGGTCCCCCGACATGTTGATGGGGGGGGGGGGGGGGGGGGGGGGGGGGTTTCACCAATTAAAGGCGTTTATTAAAGACGTTTATCGAATTGCAGGTGGAAGCAGATTAGCCGCCAAGTTAGAGATGCTTGGCAAACGCGATGCCGGAAGTTGTGAGGTTCTGTCTTCAAAATAAAACAATTTTTGGGGGGAAAAAAATTAAGTGGCGTGAAATAAATCACTCCAGATAGCGTATATGTGAAACTGTTTGATAAAACGTCTATCAAGAGTGAGACGTGATTAACCAGTTTGGTGAAAGTGAAGTATGAGTTTCCATTTTATTTGACTGTAAACCCAGAAAATAGGTTATTTCAATTATTGGTTAATTTCTTATCCAGTGAATGGAAAAAACAAAAACAAAACGTCATTGGATAAGAAAATAAAAAATCTGGAAGAGTGTTTTTTTAGACTAATTAATTTATTTACTACTTCCCGCCCCCATTGGTGAAAGTCCAGAAAATTAGTCTACTCGATTTATTTTATTGTGTTTTACAGGGGTTTTTTCACCTTTTTTCCCTTGTACATACCATAAGCTAATGAAGTCTGATAGCGTCAGCAAATGATTTCCCCCGTTCTTAGATCCTATGCTTTGAGTTTACTGTTAGCCTAGGGATTCTGGGGCTGATTGAAGACTGTATAATAGCTGTGGCGGTTGCAAGAAAAAAAATTATTAATAATATTATTCCAGCTAAATTTTGGCTTGTCAAGTAACATGCTCTTATTTTGAAAGACCACGGCGGAGGCTCTTTTGTCTTTCGTCTACGTTTACGCAGCCACTATCCAGACGGGAGGAGGAGGCAGGAGGGGAGCGGGTAAAGGGAGAGAGAGTGAGAGAGAGAAAGAGGAGGAGGAAGCGGGGACACGGTAACCTGCAGGAGGACTCACATGGTCCTGCAGCAGCGGATCCCAGACCATCAGGACTCTCAAACCCCTAACACTCTAGCCCACGTCTTCTTCCCCAACACCACCCCTCCTCCTGTAGTCTTATTTTATTTTCGCATCCTTGCTCCCGCAGCCCAGTGTTGGGGTCGGACTTGGGCCGGCAAAGCAGCGCCATGGCTCGGGAGAACGGAGACACCACCGGCAGAGGGGAAACGTGGAAAAAACAAGTCGACGACATTAAGAAGATTTTTGATTTTAAAGAAGTCCTCGGCACGTGAGTACACACGGTTTTTGTCTGAGTTCACCTCGTTGGTCTGAGTGATAGTCCAGTAATATCCATCCGGGCTTGTGTCTGTCTACAAACGGGGCTGCTGGGAGAGTTTACGGTGACCTTACTGCGCTCGGGGGCAGCGTTCAAATGGACTTGAAATGTGCATGAGTGCTGACTCTTGGACCGCTTTCTACATTCTTCTTCTGTGTTGCTATTACTGTAGTCTTCTTGCGGATGCTTGTCGGAGCTCTGTGGTTGCTCAGCGGGGGGCTTTAATCACGTCAGTGGATTTCGTGCTGTGGCATCGCTGTGTAATAAAGCACCGAGTACTATTAATAATGACTTTATAGCAGCTGAATATTCCGCTTACACAAGATGTTCAGCTGTTTCAGTTTGTTAGGGATTACTTTTAGCTAGCGTGATAACTGTTTACACCAAATATTGAGAACTTCTAGCTAGCTTCACAATTCACAAATGTTATCTTTTCAGTCGTTTATATACCCACTTCGGCCTCTCGTCGTTAGTTCTGCCTGTCGACATATATTTTTAATCAGTGACATTACACACATAAATGATTGTAGTGGTTTTAAATCAGGGCTTTGTGGTATCAGCACATCAAGTGTAGTATTTTCGTAATGTTTTGAAAGAGGCTTGCAGGGCTTTTGAGAGCTTTTTGAGTAGCTGTAATCAATGTTGTTGTGCTCATCTTTTCATCACATTGTCAGATTCCCATGGAAATGACTGTACACGTATTTCATTTATTCCATAACAAAACATGCAGAGACTTGAGGATTGTGTTAGAGCTGACAAAATCATTTGTAAAAAGGGTGTTTTTTATGCTATGGGTGGCTTTTTACTGGTATGGCATGGGTGCACTTGTCATTTTAGAGGTAGCGATGCATTTAAATATTATTAATATTGGCTGATGTTGGCCCTGTCTGTTGATTTATCTGCTAAATACCTATACAGTCATCAGCCACTTTCTTAAGTACACATCTCTAATAATGAACGGGTAGAACCCCTGCTTCGCCTTCAGAACTACCTTAATTCTTAGTGGCAGAGATTCAACAAGGTGTTGGAAACATTCCTTACAGATTTTTGTCCATATTGACTTGACAGCATCAGACAGTAGCTCCAGTTTTGTTGGCTTGCGCATTCATGATGTGAATTTCCTTGTTCAACCACATCCCAGTGGTGCTCTGTTGGGCTGAGGTCTGGTAACTGTTCTGATATCTGATATACCTGTATTAGTACTGTTCCTGCTGTTCATCATAATTAGCGTTGGTCCAGGTTCAACACTGCGGTCATGTTTTTTTCCTGCGTAGACATCAGTAGACAACCTTTAGCAACATCCAGGAACAGGATCCAGGATCCAGGAACAACACCAATATGGGGATGTCAGATACACCTGATGAGTCATGTTCAAGAAACCAGTTTGAGAGGATTTGTGCTTTATGACATGGCACATTACCCACTAGTAGATTGGTTCAATGTGATCATAAAGGGGTGGACATGGTCAACAGCAATACTCGGACAGGCTGTGGCATATAAACAATGCTCACTTCCTACTGAGGTTCCCAAGAAAATATCCCCTACACCATTACACCACCGCCAGCAGGCTGAACTGTTGATAGACTCATCAGAGCAGGCCATGTTTTCCATACTCGTGTCAACCAGTCTTGGTGAGCCTGTGTGAACTGTAGCCTGACTTTCCCGTTCCTAGTTGTCAGGACAGGTACTTGGCAGGGTCTTTGTGTT